TATACCATGTCTAAAGCTCATCAAACACATTATAATCTAACTGTCTTCGTCTATGTAAAATTTCCAATCTCCCTTAGATTAACTAAAAATAGGTAATATGATGACCTACCTAAAATATCCAACCAATTTGTATCCAATCAGACAGGCCCTTGCGCAACATAGCTGCTGGTAGGTCCCATTCACACTTCCGAGTCTCACAAGTTCCTCCTTGAAATTGATGTGATCTGCTGTGGGTGGGAGGCCCTATACAATACAATGAGAGCTGTCACCGCCTGAAGCTGTTTGAAGGCCGTTCTCAGGTAATCACGCATGCTTTGATTACTTGTGTACGACCACAACTGAATGCAGACTTTTTGCAGATAGGCTAGTAGAGCATCTTGATTTAAATGTTGTCTGCAGTGTTTAAACCATGGCTACCTACGATTTTTCAAACCCATTCTGCTGGATGAAAGGTCAAGCCTCGGGCCTGGATTGGATGCTCTTTTACATCCAATGCAGTTTATAGAGTCTTCATAGCAAGCTTTGAAAATCTTTGGAAATAAACTAGCTATTGTATGTGTGAAAAGATAAAACGAAATAGCATTTGATTCTGTCTCTTTGTTGTGCCCTTTCATGTGCTATCAGTCAAATTATTTTGATGTGTACCCAGGAAATAAACCAGCAGCTGTTTGGGTGTGGAGGTGTAAAAAGGATACCTTTTGACTCCAGCAGCCTCTTTTGTTATGTCGTTTCATGTGCTGTCTCTCAGAAGCAGATTTCTTATCTACACAAATATGACAAAGTCAAAAAACATAGCCTGGGCATTTATTGCCTATTTTTTCCCTTTCTTATATATTAAAACTCCTCATGACTTTATACCCAATGACTTCCTCTCTCTATGTTATAAAATTGATTTTCAGTGAGTACACTTTGAACTTTTATTGTATAGTTTGACACAAAGTAATTTTTGATGTTACTTTCTTCAGGGCCCATTCACACCTCTCCTGTCCTGTGCATTGCATTAATTCAGTAAAACGTGTGTTGCCTCAATGCGGCACAGGAATGTAAAACAGAAAAAAGCAGACATGAAACGCAGCACAATGCATGGTAGAGCATTACTATGGTTTTTGTTGCACTTCAGTGCATGTGCAGGTGCATTGAAACCGCATTACCTTTGTAATTACATTTCAAAATAGATGGCACTACATCGCTAATACACATAATGTGCATTAACGTGCATTGCAGTAACGTGCACATCAATGCTTGTGCTTTCATCATTCACTGTATTGCAAAAGTGTGTTTCCACCCTTACTATTTTTCATGGACTATCAAATTAATTGAATGACAACTCACGAAGTTGGAAGATCCCCAAGTGTGAATACAGGTATACAGAAAATCCTTTCCGAAAACAGATGTGGCTTAATTTTTATGCCTCAGTCTTGTTCACATTCTTCCCTTGTCAGTAAAACAAAGTGTTAACAGGAAACAAAGTATGTATAAGCATAGGTGTGTATGTATGTATTAATGGCATACATACACACCTATGAAATCGATGTGTCACTGAAATGGCGTGTGCACCTGGCACTCTCAGTGTCACTTGAATGGTGGATAGGTGAGAGCAAGGTGCACTGTCAGTGTCACTTGAATGGTGGATAGGTGGGAGTCAAGCAAAATGTTAGTGTCATATGATGGTTTTAGAACACACATTGATAAGGTGAAGCAGGTCACATCCACATGCATATATAATTAGATAGGGTAGACTGCACATGTAAGTGTGACTTCCCAGGTGACCTCTCCCACATAAAAAGTCCCCAGGAGATGTGATTCCACTCATTTTTGTGCTGAAATATATATCTATATATATATATATAGCTATATATATATCTATATACATATATCTTCCCTGCTTCTTTATTTCCATCCAGCCATAGAGGTGAATCTGTTCCTCAATGCTGTTTGCATGGCATTCCCTCCACTAGATGGATTAGAGAAGCAAAAGGATTTCCTATGCTGCACGTCTCCATGGCATTCACCCAGCATATAGCTGGGCAGAACGTTTATAAATTGGCTCCTAAATGTCAACACTTGGTGTAGAATAGGAACTGTACCCATATGAGATGCAAGCTCTATGGTTGGTCATAAAAAGTGAAGTTCTTCTGCTTAAAACTGAACTCCAGGAAAGCAAATACTGTCTAAATATATAGGCATGTGTAATGTTAAATGAATCTTGATATGCTTTGTGTATTCCTTTCAGATATGTGCAGTAATCCAGTGTGAAATGTTGCCTCTGTGTAGGAGCTTCCTGTAATAAAGACCAGTCACTGCTGCTCTCTCTCCTTTTGCAGGGTGACTGGTCTTGTGTCAGTCTCCCTTCTGTAGTTTTCTGTAAGCAGCCTGTAGTGGTTGGAGCCTGCTGGATCCCTTCCACAGCTCTGCTCTCTGCACAGTATATGCACAGCACAGTGATGATGCAACTGCTAATGTTAAAACATCTAAACATCACCGCCTGGCCCCAACCCCCTTTGTTTTCTTTGTAAACTGTATTGCAGTTGGGAAATACAGGCTCTAGGACCTATCTCACTCTGTGACTGGACAGTGAAGAAGCAGCAGAAAATTGATGAGGTTATCACTCTGCTCTCTCCTCCTATCAATGTTAGATGGACAGTTGTGATGGGCTCAATGTTGGAGCCGAATGTGAGTTCGACTCGAACCTCAGCAGTTCGTGTGTTCAGCGAACACACGAACTGTCAGGGCGTTCGGCAGGCTATTGGCCCGCCAAGCGCACCGCATGGCACTGTGCATTGTGAGCCCTGACCATTTTCTTTAACGTTTACAAATCTCTTATGCAATGATTACATAATTCTAAATGCTGGAGAATATTTCAGGTTCAGTTCAGTTGACCATTGTGTTTTGCTCCATTACATCCTAGACTGTGACAGATGCTTTGAGGTCCATGCACTTTCTCTTCTGTCGGAGATCACAATCCGCAGAACAATGGAGAGGAGCCCAACTCTTAAGTTTCCTCAGCAATCCTGCCACTATGATTTCTCCCTCCACCTCAGATACGGTAAGGCTGAAAAATGTTATCTGTTACTGAAGCACCAACACGTTGTGCAGCACTGCACAGTCAATGGATAAATATACAGTTATTACAGTTTAGATTTAACATTCAATACATAACTAGGACGTTGAAACAAATTGTTCACAAGAACTTTCCGTTTGAAACCATACCATGCTACTGTATAGGTGTTTGTAGCCTTGTTAGAGTACTTGTAACAAAACTATTGAGAGCTGAATGAAGTACTTATTTTTTTATTTGCACTTAAAATCTATCTTTCAGGGTGAGCTTTTGGGAGATCTAATCCCTTCTTCCTGTTGAAGCAGTACTGATATACAGAGGTTTAACCAACTGCTAAGGCAAATTCTGCAGTTAAAATAATCAGTTAAGAGTTAAAAAAAACAGGGTAATAAAAATGAGCCAGATAAGGAGTAGAGCGTGGGCTATGAAGTTAAGCTGGATATACACTGGTAGATTTTCGTACAAACATGTTTATGAAAAATCTCGTCAGAGCATTCACTAATGCCATCGGAGACTTGTAGAATGTCCTTTGAAATTTTGTTGGATGTTAACGTCTGATCTTCGAATGTATGGAATGATAACCACATTCACTGAATTCTATTAGTGTGAAAAACATTTACTCTGCTCCTTCATTTTTTTTTGTCACCACGGTCGAAACCAGTCATTGATTTAAGCCTATTAACTATTAGAAAATCAAGTTCGAAAACAACATTTTTGTAAAGAAATTCTAACAGTGTATCGCCATAAAAGTATGAGTGGTGTACAAAACTAAGATGAACAACAAGTCCATTATCTTTTGTGTCAAATAGAATTATAATTCTTAGTGGCTCACCTCTGTGACTCTTCCCCATTAATTTCATAGCCCCCTCTTTTCAATTTTTCTAGCTTTCTTTATTCCCCTGCTTCTTTTCAATCTTCCCTAAATTTCATATATTTGTATCTTAAAGTGACAGTAAACACAGGAGTTAAATCTTTAAAATGCATTCAAGTACCCTAACTATTAACAAAAATGCGTCTTATTTGTGTACTGCTCAGGTGTAGATCCTCAAATTATCTCTGAATTGGTGCTGACACTGTCCTTCCTTCCGGGGAGGGGGTGGGAGGGCTACTTTTGTTTCCCATGGCCCCTATGTGTGTTGTAAAGTAGCCACTACTACAACCTCGCTCCCATGATGGACTACAATCTCACGTTTCGTTTACTAAATTGAGATTGTAGTCCATCATAGGAGCAAGCTTGGAGCAGTGGCAATTTTACAACACACACAGGGACCATGGGGAACAAAAGTAAACACCCTTCAGAAGAGAGACAGTGTCAGCACAAATTCAGAGATGATTTGAGGATCTACAGCAGCGGTTCTCAACCTGTGGGTCGAAACTGCGTCGGGGGTCGAATGACGATTTGCCAGGGGTCACCTAAAGACATTCCAACTCTCCCAGACGCTCCAGGAGTCTCCCGCTATTAGATAGCGGGTCCTGGCCGCCCGGCAGAGAAACACTTTCTCCCAGAAAGGTTTACTCTGTTCAATCTTTCCCTGCTCTGGTTTTTTTTTTTCTGACATCGGAGCTGCCGGCCGCCGTCAGTCAGAAAAAAAGTAGAAAAAAAAACAGCATAGGAATGCATAGCTAGATTCCTATTGGCTATTTCACTTTGCAATAGCCAAGAGCAAACCAGCTATTGCACCCGCCCACTGCTGCTGTCAAGCAGCAGAAGGGAACCTGAAGTTCTCCATCAGGTCCCCTTCTAGTGATTGACATCAGCAGAGGACGGGGGCAATAGCCAGCTTGCTATTGGATATTGCAAATTGAAATAGCCATAAGGAATCTAGCTATGCATTCCTATGCTGTTTTGTTTTGTTTTTTCTGACTGACACCGGCCAGCGGCTCCGATGTCAGAAAAAAAACAAAAACAGAGCAGGGAAAGGTTTACTTTGCTGGATCGAGTAAACCTTTCCGGGAGAAAGTGTTTATCTCCCGGGCGGCCGGGACCTGCTATCTAATAGCTATCTAACAGTAACAAAATCACAGAGATGAAGGAGCAACGAAAATAATTTTACTGTTAGGGGTCGTCACAACTTGGGCATTGTTATCAAAGGGTCGCGGCACTAGAAAGGTTGAGAACCGCTGATCTACAGCCAAGTGATACACAAATAAGATACATTTTTGTTAATTTAAGATACATGAATACATTTTAAAGATTATACTTCTGAGTTTAGTGCTGCTTTAATTGCAGAATTTGTATTTTCCTGTGCATCAGTACTGGTCAGACCAAAATAGGTAGATCTCCCAGTAGCCTGTCCTGAAATTTTTTTTGCAAGAGCAAAAAAACAACAACCCTCCCCCCCCCCAAAAAAACCCCCAAACAAACACATACTTAACACCCCCCACCCTTACTCTTTTAATTTTAACGTAGGTTTTTACTTTACAAAAAAATTATTTATATGTTAACATTTTTCTATACAAATGTTATATGTACATGTTATGTATACTGTATGCAATATACAGTTTTAATTATAGGGTGATTGGTGCTTTTGATATTTATTTGATTATTTATTTATGTCTTTTCTAGATGCCCTGTGAATATTTATCATTTGAGACCATGGAAAGATGGATCTTAAGTAAGTTAACTATCAATATTCTTCAAACGATCAGTTAAAGTACACCTGTGCCCAGACTATGGACATTAAATATTTAGATCCCAAAGTGATAATAAAGTCAACAAGTTTTTAAGCTATTTCAAATGCTGGTTAAATCACTTACAATGGTGCTGCTCTTTGATTTTAATATGTTTTAGTTTCCTGTAGAATCAGCTGGTCTCTTGAACACTGGGCCTGATATCCTGTTTTAGGGTGGCTCCTTTCTCTTGCAGGGTCCTATGGAGCCACCCTTGTGTGTGCTAATATGCTGTGTGCGTCTCCACAAACACAGCAAGGCATGCCAATCCACTTTTCCTTGCTTCCCACTCCTCCCTTCTCCCTTATACAAGCAATACTTTGCTGGGCAATGTATATTTGATCTGGATTCATTATTAAAAATGTTTTGAGTGTTTAATACTACTTTAACAAGCAGTAAAATTGCTTTTAACCAAGCAATCCCTGACCTTTATAACTGCCTGTACTGTACAGTTAATTTATTATCAAAGATTCATAAAGATCATGACAAAGACTCTAAAGTCAGGGTCATTTATTTCTAAGAGCTTAGATACTCGAGATTCTGGTGCAATGGAGATTTATGTACCTCTGCTGAGAAATTTGAAGATTCATTTCTGCACAATACCTATAGTGAAAAATAGTTGCATAGACTGTGCACAGATTGACTCATCAGTTTTTTACCTTTTTTATTTTTCATTTTATTAATTAATTTATTTGTTTTAGTTTTTCATAAGTAGAAATTCTTGATATAAAGCACTAAATCTCAATACAGATGAGAGTAACAGTTCGTATGGACTCTAGTGGTTGCACTATAATAAAATGGTAGGAGTTCTGCAATTTCTGGTGTCCCAGTGGCTTAAAGTGGAGGAGAAACTCTCTAGTGACATCTCCTCCTTTCCAATTCTCATCCCTGCCCACGGAGGTTGATTGGCAACATAGTGCCCACCAATGTAATTTCTATTAGGTTGTTAGGTGGTGAACACCTCACATATCACCGATTTTGTGATTCTACAGCAATACTTCCTCTTAGCATACAACTCTTATAAAAGGAAGGACAGCATGATCCTGTGACCTTATGTATGGTATGCTGTATGGTATTTTCACAATTTATTTTATGGGGAGAAAGAGTTTCATGGGAAAAGATGCATAGATGGGGTAGAACAGTGACTCAGTGGTTAGCACTTCTGTCTTACAGCACTAGGGTACTATGATTTACTCCCACACTCAAAAAACATTGATGTGAAAAATTTTAATATCTCTGAATAACCTCTGAAATCCAACACCAAGCCTCTGCTGCTAGCTGGTCAGTCCCTGGAGCCTGGATATGCTTGGCAGAAGTGGCCAATGTGAGCTGTCCAGCAGCTAACATGTACTGGCTGTCTCAGAAAGTCAGCACATCTAAAGGTAGATGACTATCCACAGAGTGTTTGCAATGAAATAAATGCTGCTGTTTGCCAGAATTAGAACAAACTATTATACTAACTAGACTGTGTTATAAGCCAATATTATATAGCAATAATATAGCAAATATACCACACATTGGGTCTGTTTTGGCATATCATTTTATGTTCTGCATTACTGAATGGTAACAGAAAATTCTTCCTTTTCCTAGTTGGATTTCTGCTGTCACACAGTGTACTGAACTCTCAACAGCCCTGCCTGGAGCTGTGGAAACAGGCTCTTCAGGGATCTTACTGCATCACACTGATCCGGGAAGATGTCTTGCTAATACATCGTGTTGCTGAGGACTTCTTTGGCAGCATAAAAGGGTGTGTTAAAGAGCACAGTAAACATCACAGGGATTAAATAGCTTGCTCTCTATTTATCTCCATTGTTGTTCCTCCTTAGTTATACAGCTTGGTTCTACCCCAAGGCTCTCCTCTCTTTACATGATCAGCGGTGTTCTTCTCCCACAGCCTATGAGCTTCAAAACCTTTGGAATTATAATAAGTGACACAAGTGATCTGTTGTGCTAAAGGCAGTTGACTGGAAAGTAGCATGTCAAACCCATTTGAAGTCTTAAATTAACAATTCAGCAAGCTAGACTACCTTCATTTTTCTAGTCTTACCTTCATATTCCTGTTATAGCAGTTGTTCCTTGTGCCCTAAAGTGGACCTTTACCGCCCTTCACTAAAATGACATCAGCATGCAGCTCTGCATGCTGATTTAAAATCATCTTACATTCATTAGTTAAGCAGACATGTTTTTCCTTTACTTACAGATAGAGTTTTTCCACTTCCTGGTCCATTTTGGCACAAATGATGTAATGTGCCCAAGCTTTGCACCTGGGAGAGCTGGCAAATCTCATCTGTAATCATCTCAGGGAAAGGCATTTTTCTCCTCTGAGATGATGTACATGGTCACATATCCTAGTCACATTGCCAGAGTTCCAGGAAGTAAAGGGAGATCTAGTAATCTGCCCTTCGTTAAAATGGCCATTTTAAGAAGAATAGGGAGGAAAAGAGAAATAAGGTATGCAAAAAATTAAAAGCTGCAATTAACTAGAAGTATCTATTTGTAGATTGTCATTACTAAACATTTCGAACTGTGCCTTTGTTATTTTAAAAGATATGAGTAAAGTTCCTCTTTACCAAAACTGTGCACTCCATTAGACATGTGCACTGCCAAAAAATTAGTTTCGTTTCGTTTTAAATTCGGATTTGTGTTATTTCGTTTTTCAGGATTCGGGTGTGAAAGTCAATTCGGATTCGGAATTCGGATTCGGACGAAATTCGGTAGCGTTAGTACGAACGTTCGTTTCGTTTTCTGTTCTTATTCGTTTCTTATTCGTTTCTTATTCGTTTCGTTCGTTTGCAGCAAAAGTGACATTTGAGGGGGAAAAATATTTTTCTCCTTCTCTAATGTCACTTTGCTCCAACGAACGAAACGAATAAGAAACGAATAAGAACAGAAAACGAACGTTCGTGTGAACGCTACCGAATTTCGGAAATGGAAATTCGGATTCGTTTGCATTCGTTATGTCTGTAATTCGGAATTCGGATACATCCGAATGTCCGAATTTACGAAAATTCGTCCGAATTTCGATTCGGAACGAAACGAATCGCACATGTCTACACTCCATTAGGCACCAGGCATTGACCATGTTGCCAAGTGCACTCCATAATATAACAGACCTGGTCAGACACTCTCTTCCTCAGTACTTGTGATGAGCAGTATATTTAAAGTATATATAACCCCTAACAATGAACTTCTCTTATGTACGCTCTTTTAGTCTGTTAAAATACCAATAGAAGCATTGTGTTATATTTCTTTGATAAATGCAAACAAAATTTTATTTATGTCAGGGTTGTCCTCTACACACATCTTATATCAAAGATCCCTCCTATTTCTTATCTTGGGCTACAGAAAGATTAGCCTTTATGTAATAGAGATCTGAGAATGGTATTGGTTGAGTGGTTTAGGAAAGACGACTTGGCAGGGCTGACACCACTCAGCCCACAAAAAGGCTGTGTGTTGTCAGCCCAAAGCAGCGCTTAAGAGCTGAATGTATTTCTGGTCAGATTAACTGGTATTTTTTCCTACTTTCAGTGTCTTTAAAAGAATTAAATGTGGTGGATTGTATTGTATTGTATTGCAGAGATGTACTGCATTTTTATCATTCTGCCTAGGCACATGTTTTCAGGCATTTCCAAGCAAAAATCAGTTAAATACAGTAACATGTAGCAGAACATGACTATAAAGGGTAAAATAGGTGCACAATCTCAGTTGGGCTTTCAGTAACTTGCATAAAGCCTTGGGTCTATATCTAAAAAAAAAAAAACTATGGGCAGAGACTGTACATGGGAGGAAGCACCCCTTCTCACATGTAGTATTTAAACTCTACAATGTCCTCTGTAGGATATCACATGCTTTGAAAAAAACAGTCAGGATCAATAGGTTAAACTATACACAAAGGGAGGAAATCATAATAAATACATTCCCAAAGCAATGCCCTATTTGAATGTAAAATATACTGTAACGCTTGCCATACGTATGTCAATTTTATGGCACATTCAACCATTTTTAACCAGCTTTCAGTTGGTAAAACAATCGGTCAGATTAAAACAACCTACCATCAACAGTTTATATAAACCTGGCCATACACATATAGATTTTCTGCAGATTTTCTATTGTCAGATGGAAAAAGTGCAACGCTAAACTGTGTGGATGGAGGAATCTCCCACTGGGCCAAGCTTCAGTATCTTGCTAGTCGGCCCCGCTGGCTGTCAAATCAAAACACCTGAACAAGGCTAGCATCCAATCAGATTGTTCAGGTATTTTGAGAGCCAGCGGGGCCGACTAGTAAGATACTATAGGTGTATGGCCAGCTTTAGTATATAAAGTATATCTTTCTGGCAGGGGTGGTGGTTGAGTTCATCCATTCAGTTGTTGAGATTGAAAGCTGATTAAAACTTGTTACAGTTGCTGGAAAGTTGCTGTGTGTTTGGATAGCATGAGAACTCGTCCATAGTTTAACACTTGAAACTGCAGGTAAAATGGGGGCCACATAATCCTGAACAACAGAGGGTATACCTTTGTTGTGTGTTTGCTGCAAATCAATTAACAGTCACTTAAAAATATTTTAAAGCAGATTGGTTTTTTAAATTAAAATGCATGCTAAGTAGTGTGTACCACTTGCATATGTCTCTAAAAAGGTCATAGGACTCCCCTTGACAATACTTTTATCATCCTTTCTACTCTATAGGCTAGTGACATCTCTGTTCAGACATTATCTATGGAAAAGATTTACTTCTTGGAATAAGATGCTGCTCCAGAGATGACACTTTCAAGTAAATCCCAGTGCCTACATAGTAGTCTGTATGTTTTGGCAGTGTGTTAAGGTTATCAGATTTTCAAAATGAAATCCAGGGACACCATACTATGTATATTTTTTAAAACTGCAACATTACGTCCCCATTGTTAGACAAACCCCAAAAACCTGGCTCCTATTTTAGCCATTCCCAACATGGCTGCACAGTATGTAATTAAAGCCAGGAGATGATTGCTGTGCATGTGTGACTAGCTGTAGCAGTGTCTGCGATTGTTACTGGTGCCCTCCCTAACATGGCTAGCAGGCAACGCATGATAGTGGAGGACTACACTGCCGGGGACATCTGTTTGCCGGGGACAGACCCCTCACAACGGGATGGATGGCAACCATACTGTGTGTGTACATGTGATGTAACGGCAAACCTTTGCATATTGAACCCTCCATATAATCTTTCTTTACTTTAGGTATGGAAAACGTGTGGCTGATGTGAAGGAATGCAAAGAACATTTCATGACCCACAGGTCAGTAGTTCTATAATGTGTTCTTATTGGTCACTTATTGGTCACTTTTTTCTGGAAACTCATTTGTGTTTCAATTCATGTTCTTACAGGGTAAATACACGGCAGCAAGTCAAATGTCTTTTATATAGGGCCCTTTCACACTAGCCCATCTGCTAAAACAGTGCATTTTAGCAGGCAGGCTAGTGCGTTGTGGCAGCTCTGGCAGTGCACGTGGCATTATTCACTGCCCGAGCTGTCACTGTTTATATTTTCTTCTCTTTTTTTTTACTTTAGCAGAAGTGTACGACATGGCATTTGGCTTTTTTAAATTTATCTATCACAGGTATTTATATAACAACGACAATTTACGTAGTGCTCTACATATAGAACATTATCATCAGTCGGTGCCCTCAAGGAGCTAACAATCTAATGTCCCTATTACACATGCATTCAGGGCCAATTAAGACAAAAGCCAATTAACCTTCCAGCATGTCTTTGGAGTACCTTTAAGGTGCCCATACACTTTACAACCCTCGCAAGACTTTTGTCTTGCGAGGGTTGTAAAGTAATTAAAAAAACGTACGATCTGCCCATCTTGGACAGGCAGATCGTACCTGCGATCATCGCAAGGCTTCCAATGACTGCAATGCTGAACGGGCAGTGTGCGCGTGCGCACACCGGCCCGTTTGGCAGTGATCTCTCGATCGTGTTAAAAACCAGCCGAAAATCGTACGATTCACAGCTGGTTTTCCAACTTGCTCGATACAAAAGTCGTGCGACCGTACATTAGAAACGGTTGCACGCCTTCCATACACTGTACGATTCTCGTACAATCGTGGGATTTCCCGCAATTCTCATACGAGAATCGTGCTGTGTATGGGCACCTTTACACTGTGACAATAAAGTAAACCTGAGCAATTGTTGTGAATTGCAGTGCGTCATTATATTACTATTTTATTACATAAAACTATATGTTTCTACACAAGGATAATGATGAGGTATAAGATGTGGCACTTTATAGAAAATACATTCCTTTGTTTATATCAGCCAGAAAATTATTTCTAATTGTTTCTCTATGGGTGTGTGCATTTTGCATAATGATATGTGCCTTTTTTAATAAGCTCATTAGTTTTCTATTTTATTGAGATATGTGGGTCTAGGTTAAAGATGACTTAGAGGGGAACTTTACCCAGCAGGTTAATGTCTTTATCATGCCATTGCTAACTAAGGCTTGTATCCCACTAGTGGGGAAAATAGATTATCACATGCCCAGACTCTAGAACAGTGTATTATTGTACAGTGTGGAACAGCTGTATCCAATTCTGCATACCTGGCTTTATATTATAAAGTTCTTATAATATAAAGCCAGGTATGCAGAATTGGATATAGCTGTGCCACACTACAGAGTGTTCATGTTCTTCATAATATTAAGAAACTGACCTAAAATCATGATTTTGTATTGCTTTAGAAAAAATGTTACCTGTCCCTTTAAGAAAAAGTATCGGTAATTGGTATCGGCGAGTACTTGGAAAAAAGTATCGGTACTCGTACTCTGCCTTAAAAAAGTGGTATCAATGCATCCCTACTGAAAACCATTATTTTGAAACTCCAGGAATTGTTTTATTAAACCTTGCAGTAGGTCTACCCCTGCACTGCAAGGGTTAACAGCTCGTTTGTGTCTAGGTAAAAAAAAAAAGTTATACTCACCCGATGCTCTGAGCTGGCTTCTTCTTACACCTGTCCCTGGAGCCTCTCTCCCCCTCCTCTGCAGCGGTCAGTGTTCCCTAAAATCATAACATCTATACACTGTGAGGATGCCGAAGAAGATTCTTCTAAGAGCTTTGGAGGAGTATTTCTTTGTAATTTTTGAACTTAGACAAAAACAAGCACTTAATCCTTGCAGTACGGGGGTTGCTCCACTGCAAGGGTTAAGAAAAAGTTTTCCTGGAGTTCTTCTTTAGGGCATGCCAACTGTTAAGGTGTCCTGTGTGCTTTTTTCAGCTCTCAACCAAACTGTTATGCTTTCAGATGGCTGGTGTCATAGCTGATCACATGTGTAGCACCACGGCAACTCTAATCCAAATAGAGGCTCAGATGACATCTTCATTGGCTGTAAAGGTTAAGAAGTTGTAGTTTTGCTTTAAGTCAGCTTCCACCAACTTTATAAAATAAGATTTAAAAGGACAGCTATACTTCTAAGTAGCCTAAGCCTCCCGTTGCCCCTCCCCCCCCACACTTGTACAAACTTCAGATCAGTAGGTGCCCTGCTGTGGGATTCATGGCCAATGCTCGTCCAAGTGGTGCTTGTGTCCACTTGTGAGCTGGCAGGGCCCACTCGGTACTGCGTGGACTGTTCTCCATAATAGAAAGACCTTCTTGTAAGAGGACCGGAGGACAGCCCAGTCGGTTTATGCCACGGCTGGGCCATTTGCTAAGGCATAAACAAGGACGTATGCTTGGTATTGGGAAGAAAGGGACGATGGGGGGGATGGCTGTTAGGCTTAAGTTACTTAAAAATAAGTCATTGAGATGTAATTCTTCAGGTGCTGAAGATGGTGAATGCTGAAGATGTTGAAGGTCTTAATTGAAAATATGCTGTGAAACACCAAATATTCTAATGAATGTTTTATTTATGCACCCTCTAATCTTTGGCCAATACTACTTATGTGACTTAAATTTTTTTTTCAACCTCTACAGTGGACAGTTTCACCGTGGCAGACGTGCATTCCTCAGGTCAGCGGTGAAGGAGTTGGAGATCATTTTAGCAGACCAGCCAGGACTGCTGGGTCCAAAGGTAAGAGATTGTAGAATAGAGGTTTTCAGAAGTGTTCTCTGGCTTCACCAACAGTGCATATTTTCTGCATCTCCTCATAACAGCCCAAGGAAATCTGGATATTTGGACTAAAGACTGATTTTTCCTCCTGTGTCTCTGAGAGGAAATCCACTATGGTTGATGAGTCCTGAGGACAGGGTTGATATAATAATATATTAAGAGTAAAAAAGTGAGAAAGGAGCAGATAGGCCCAATAAAGGAAGGATTTTTCTCAAAGGCTTTTGATAGGGTACCACACAAACGCTTGCTACACAAGCTGAGAGCTATGGGCATAGATGAGGTGGTGTGTACGTGGATAGAGAACTGGCTACTGGAACAGGTCCAGAGGGTATCTATAAATGAGAAAGAGAAAGATTTTCCTTGAGCTGGAAAAAGTCCAGCGGAGGGCAACCAAACTAATTAGGGGTATGGAGGACCAGAGCTATGAGACGAGGCTACTAAATTTAAACATGTTCACATTGGAGGTGAGGAGATTAAGGGGGGATATGATTTCCATGTACAAGATGTTCAATGGTGGCAGCAACATTAGCGATAAACTGTTTAAAATTAACTTTGCCATTTATACTGAACTGATGCCTCAATTTGTTTTAGGCTCTTTTTGCTTTTATGGCTTTATCCTTTTGCCGTGATGAGATTAACTGGCTGGTACGGCACGCTGAGAACATCACTAAAACTAAGACTCCAGAAGACTACATGGATGTGTAAGAAAAACATGTAACCTTTAACTACAGTACAATTTTCCTGAAGCTGAATATGTAGTGGGATAGTAGAGGTTCACAAACTTCAGATGAATGCATACTGAGCACTAAAAGGGCTCATGTACACGAGCTTTAGACTCAGGCAAGTCAGATACAGTATACTTTCCAGTGCTTCCGAGCTGCTTTGAGGTGCCTTTGAGTTGCTTTAAAAGCTAAGTTCAGGTTTCTGACCATGTTTCATGTTCACTTATATTTAGGGTGTAACATGAAACATGGTTAGATCGCAAACCCCCCACCTCTCTCC